TCCTTCATGGTAAATGGACTGTAGATTGGAAACCTATCCAAACCTATCAGATTCTCTTGATTGACATGGCGCGCAACAGGATTGAAAATTATACACTGACTCATGAAATATTGCAAGCGTGAGGTTATTGAATACAATTTTCACAACACCGATATTTTTAGTATTTTGCGAACGTTTGCTATATTTAACACTTTCAGTGTCTATATAACATATAAATAAATGTTTCAAAAGAAAATAATCCTAAAATCTTGTGCAACAATTTTATTCTGTAAAAGAATCGAATTATATAAATAAAAGATATTTATATATATTTTATAAAATCTTTTATGCACATCGTTTTCAGGGAGAAAAAATGTGCTATAATAAATATATAATAAAGTATAAATAAAAAATTATTTTAATTACGAATTCACAAATTGATCGATAATTATGTTAAAAATTATAACAGCACACACATAGTAATAGCAATAATTTTATATCTCGTCGTTTTTAATCGCATAACGAGAAATTCTGTTGGACAGATATGAGGATGGAATTGAAAATTAAGCAGTAATAATTTTCTCTATTTCGAACACTTTGCAAAAACAGCCACCTACCGACTACTCGTGTTTTGCCAATTATATCACCGGGGCGGTGCCGATGAAGTATCATTGTAGAAATCGCTGATCTAATTGTTTCCAAATTGGTGTTCTTGCGCAAGCGATAGTTTCCAAAAACGGCCGTTACAACGTAATCATAGTTGGCCTTTAGCGCGAGAAAACGTTTAATAACGCATCGAATAACGTGGAGATTCACCAAAAGTTTAATTGCCAAGTCGACGAAAAACGTTTCTTCCTCGCCAATTGGTTTCTAACCGGGTTTTTGCTGTAACCCCACCGATCCATGATGAAAACGCAATTATCCGCTGTTCGTCAGTAACCGATTTTAGCTTTGCAAACACAGAGATTACTCTCCATTTTCTTCAGGATTCTTTTCCAGGACAAGCATAATATTAAGATAACATTTTAATTGCTCGTAAAAATTATTAAAAGAATTAGGGGAGACGGAATTAAACGCGTGAAATTGCCTAATGCAATGGAGGATAAATTCGCGAGGTAAAAAAAATTATTAATGAAACACATTCTTATAATTTTGTCATAAATATTTAATGTTTGTTTAAAATTTGTGACGATCTGTTCGATTTAGGAGATAAACTTCCAAATTAGAATGAATGGTTGCCAGCAGTACTGTAGATACAGAACACTCTGTGTAAGCGGTTTTATGATGCAGTATAAGGAATGCATGTCTGTCGATCTAACGTCACTCGCCAGCTAACGATCGGCTAGACCGCTACTAAGATATGCAAAATTCGATTTCGCTTGCGGTCGCGCGGCATCTTGTTGTTGCTATCTAGGCATAATTCAACTCGCTGCAAAATACATGGTTCGAATTTCGCTTTGTCCGATACTCGAGTTTCGGATGATGCAGTCGACGGACGCTTCCGTTACATGGATGATGTAGCAGCCCCGGTGGCGACGGCACAATGCAACATTCATGCCGTGAGAAAAGGACGCTTGGGAAAACTCGATGGGGCAGTCGATGTCCGGATATCATCGAGTTAACGCGGATTTATTTTAAATTAAATGTGACAATGCGAAATTTTCTATACGTGATATAGATGCGTACGTAGATTATTATATTTTCACGTAAATTATTATATTTTCCGATGCCATATCGGCGATTGTGCGATCGATGCGTCGCTTCGTTCAAAATGATTGCAATACTAATGAATTAATAAACTCATCTCTCTCGCGAAGAATTATCGTCTCCCTTTTTCCAAAAGTGATCACGTATAAATCAGCGAGCACTGCAGATCCGGCGTGATTTGCAATTTTTAATCATGTTCGGCGTGACAATCGAATCATGCTCGAATAATCCAGCAACGATCGTGCTCTCATCGTTATCGCGACTCTTCTCATCGCTTCGTTTTGCGTAAGTTTGTATTTTCTCCTCTTCATTACGGGAATTTTTTATCGTGTTTGTTGTTTTTTTATGGAGTAATTCGATGTATCTCCGTCATTTGTACGCAACGATCAATCGGCTTGGAGGCTCGATTATTAGATGGGAAAAGCCAATCGGTTCTGTCGATTGTCGTCTGGGTTTTAAGAGCCGGGTGCTCGATCGGTTCCTCCAAAGGGTCACGGATAAAAGGGCGTTCTTTACGAGGAATGGATCGAATAGCTCGCGGCGTCTTTCTTCTTCGCCTCTTTGAGGGTCGTAAGGCACGAGGGATCCCTTCTATTTTATGAAACGGAAGGAAACGACGAGAAACGAAGACTCGACTTCAATCTTAGGTGTTACGACAATGGAGACTACGTGTAATAAATAATAAATCTTAAAGAGAGACACTCGCGGCTTATAAAAACGCGCGCTGTCGCCGTACGTTTTGCTATAAAGATTTTTTTATAAAACCCTAAACTCGTATTTCACTTCCTCCATTGAAGCAATGGCTTCTCTTTGAAAGCACACATCAAGTCGATTGAAACGTTTGTATCGTAGCGAGCTGAATGATTAATTTTCTTATAACGCGATCTATTGAGAGGTGAAAAAAATTATCTAAAATATAAATCTAATATTAATCTCGCTTTTTTTTATATTTAATTAAGCATGTATATGTGCATGCCATAAATCCATAAGTAATATAAAGTGTTTAATTGCTACGATTTTAATCAACATTCCTCTTAATTATAATTTTGTAATTGCTGATATATTTTAAAAGCATGTAGCTTGAGAAATATGTGATAAAATTTACGAGGATTTTTTAGCATAAATCTGCTATCGCCGTCGAGCCTTCGACGTAAGTAGCACCATGCGTCACGTAATCTACTAAATCGAGTAAATTGCCACTCGTTCCACTTGCCAAGGAACGAACAAATACGGGCAATCGTAGACCAGCGCATACGTCCTCATGGTCATATCTCTCGCGGTTATTTCAGCGATAAAATATTTATTATTCGCCGCGCACGCGGTGGCGAGTACGAGCGGTGAAGGAATGGCCCTAGGTTCAGAGAATGGGAATATACACTCTCGTTGATTTCTTTGATCCCTTATGGTCGCGCCGTGTCGTAAATCTTACGTTAATATTGGACGTGTGGAGGCCATAGAGCCCGACGTAAGCGTATTTGAAATTAATACACGATTCGGGGGCGAGTTGATTAACACACAAACAAAATGTCAGATATATATTACGTTTCCGAATGATTTCTGAGGATCCGCGGTACCTTTTGTTTGTCCTGTCGATCATGAGGAATTTCCCAGGAATTATCCGCACGTCCCGCAAAGAATCATGATCCTCAGAAGCTTTCTAAATCCCGATAGCTCACGCGCGAAGGCAACGGTTGCGATAAAGATTCCGCTTCGTAGATTCCGTTGGTGGAGAACGGGAGCGGGCGTGTAAAAAGAAGGGGACACGAAGGACGACATCGGCTGCCCCGTGATTTATAAGGATAGATTTGCCCCGGCTTGTTGTTTATTTCGCCGCGACTGACCGTAATTTTTCTCCGGCGATCCAGTTTACCCGCGTCTCCCATCCTTCTCCACCCCATTTGATACCCGTATCTGGTCGGCTTTTCATTCGGTACTCCTCGCACCTCCATAAACCTCTGCTCTGTACCTCTACGTAAAGTGAACTCCGCCAAGTCTTAGTGCGAACTCGAGATCGGCAAGATGGATATCGTCAAACAAGTATATTCTTTTGCACGAGAAGCCGATCCATTTCCCGAGAACCGACCGATCATCGCTGCTTTTTCTCGATGGGAAACACTTTAATCGTGTTATGCCTTCTCCCCCTCGTCTTTTTCTCTCAGTTTGCTTCTCATGCATCCCGAAGGGAAAACGAGAACAAAATTCAGCGCGTTATTCTCTATCGAGTTGGTCTGTTTCGAACAACTGCAAATTGTTACTATAACTGCTCTTTATATCGAATTAATGTTTGCAACATAACATATACAATGACGCCATTAATTTTAAAAGGATTGCATTTTATTGCATCCTACGGAATTCATATGTAAGAAGTGAAGTATACAGATTTTATTCTGAAATTTCGACGGATACGTGAACGTTCGCTTGCCTGCATTGAAAATTGTGAAATACTCTGACAAAAAAAAAAAACGTATGCAGGTCAGTAAAGCTTTCTTTTCGCAGCACATTTATTCAAGCGACGCCTCCAAGTTCCACGATAATTGCGCACAGTTATTTTTTTTATCCTCGCTATTTCAGACGAATTGCGACGCAATAAAAACAGCATACGTCCCATTATGTATTTCTCAATTTACCGCGTTTAACGACTATCACCGTGGTGTCTGGTGGCGGCGAGACGGCTCTGTAATTCGTCGAGGCGCAACGCGACTCGTCAGCGTGACAGGCAGCGACAGAAATTAACGGTTCCATTTACAGTCTGGCGCATTAACTCCCCCACACCTTGTATCACTCGTTAAAGTCGGACCCGTCTCAATTCTAATTAGCAACGGCAGGACGGGAGGTATCGCGGGCGGCGGCTCGCATTGACCGACTGCATTTAGCCTGGCAATTTCACGGTAACGGTAATCGTCTCCGCGAGATTATAACTGTCGCAATCGGCCATTTCGCAAGTTCTGCGGAATGCTGCGGGATTTTACGCGCAAGTTGTGCCGCAGCGCGGAGAATGTCGTCCGTTAATGTCGTCTCATTGCGCTAATAATAATGAAATTGTATCGCTATGGGGTTGGGGGTGTTAAGTTAACAACGGGGATCATAAATCTCGCGCGCTCGGAAATTCTCAGTGTTTTGACGGAGATAGGATTGCCGCTATTATCTCGTAGAATCTCCACCGGCGGATTCTCGAATACGTCTAGAGAGGGCTGGATTCTTACGTTTCGTTGAACGTTGCGATATTTACATATTTATGAAATACGACAATAAGGCAAACATGTGCGCAAAAATTAGGAGCTTCATTACAATCTGTTTGTTTGATTGCTTTGCAGGAGGAAATGCCGTCTCGTACCAAGCTTCGATTTCCTCGCTGAGAAGCTTACTACTCTCAGTCACGATTTCTTCGTTCCGACAGGAGGGAAATGGAGATATCACGTCGCGGAATTCGGTAAATATGTTCAAACTGCAATCTTATCACGATAGGGACATTGATAAGAAATGTGTTTTGTGGCCGTTACGCTTTTGCACTCTCGAGTAACGACATACGCGGCCACATGCGGTGCTCGTTTTTCGTTTATCGCCACCGCGTCGACTTCGCCAGGATTCAAGCCTGTACGATAAATTCGCGTTCTTATATTCCTGCTTAAGTGGCGAAGTTGGAGCAATAAAGTACGCTTGCCGAGTTTCGAGAACAGGGAGTCGGGAGATGTTGTAATTTTTCGAATATTCTAAAACTTAAGAGGGACACGCGGCTTATGTCGCGCTCTTAAATCTGCATGCTCGTTCTGTGTTACACGTTCTTACACCTTCTTACACCTTTTTTGCATATATTACCATTAATTCGACATCGCAATTGCAAATTCTCCGCAAGCTTAAAATTATTTCAAGTTTTTATTACGAAAATTTTTTATTCATAAATCTTGAGCGTCTTAGGTGAGATGGCTTAAAGAAAGAATTGCATTTTGCTAACAAATGCCGCGCTTAAAGAACGTTTTGCGCGCGCATTTAATATTTGTTATTTAATATTGCAATATTTAACATTTAATATTTGTTATATTTAATATTAACAAATATTTACACGGATTATAATTATCTTAATTGACGCGTGAGCTATTATGGAACTGTAGCTAATAGAAACTTAAGCAAGCTGCCTATCGATTGTGACGGTTATTGCCGTCAAAGCCGCTTGATGTGTTGACTATGTACATATAAATCGAATCTATTGATCTCGTTCGAACAAACTCGACATTGCATACAACTGCTGATTGTCTCAGTTTATTTAAAGCGATGTCAAATATAAACATTATGTGTTTCGATGTTTGATCGTCGAAGGGGTGCTATATTGTGCGGCGACGCATTTATACCGTTAATGGATTGATCGATCTTCCTCAGGTATTCCGAAATGACCTCGTCGATTTCGTTACATTCTTCATTTTCTCTCCGCCCCCGCACGCGATTATAAATAGCGCGATATCCGTCGCGAATCGATATCCCTTAATAACGTAGTACGTCGCGGTGGGAAATCGCTTTTATCAACGATGGGGGCGGGAGGAAAATAAAGTGTAAAGGGAAGATGTTAAAAACGCGCAACAGCAGAGCGAGGGTGAAAGGTCAAAGGCATTCGCGTATTCGTCACGCGAGAAGAAAATACATCATCGCAGCCCGGCGGGGTGCGATTATGTAATGTGTCGTGAGATTCCGTCGCGTAATTTTGCGGCAACGTGACACCGCCTATGCTATTACTGTGATTAATGCCATATTAATCCGTTGATAGCGCTATTGTACATTTCTTTTTTGTCCTCTTCGTGCAATTAACTGAATTAATTCCGCGCTAATCTACCGGCTCGAGAGCGCTAAGCTCTTAATCTACGCGCTGACGGATACGCTTATCTTCGTCACGATGTTCGCGTGTCTCGTGATATCGGAAAAGGGAAACCGTGGCGTTATTATTCGTTCTGATTGACGCGAATTGATCCTGCCTTTTTTTTTTTCGCGCGCCGAACACGTCCGATTTTCCTCGCCATCCACCCTGTGAATATCGCGATAACAACTTTAACGTTTCAATCGATGAAAGGAAGAGCTCCTCTTACAATCTACCTCATGTCCGATCTGATTAAGACACGGATATCCAGCGAAACACTAATCGCCAGGAGATTATTTTATGCGAGAGTCTCTAAGCACCGTATCTGGAGATATTCCGTGTCAAACATTCCCGACATTTCCGCAAATGTCAGTTAAGCGAGACAAGTACCGAATGTAAATTCGACGCTACAATTCCCGTTATCTTTGCCAGCGGTAAGGATTTCCATCTACCGCGAGCTGGACCCGCTTATCAAGTCACTGCGAATCGCTCGCGCTGATACGCATAATTGAAGTGCGAAATTATTCGCGATTAGATGCGCGCTGTCAAAATTCTCGACACGCGGCCCGTTCAAATTTTGCACGATCATTTCGCGAGCGTGTAAATTGAAACGTAATTTTTTCACCGTTGACGAATGAAAAATTCTGTAAATCGCAAAGTACTTTAATATATGGAAATGTTATTTCCGTGTGTTACACAGTGGAGAGAATAGCAATTAGCTTGTCGGAAAAAAAATATATAGACCGGTTGGTAAAAAATAAAGAAAAAAAGAAAAGATATCCAGCAAAAGAGAGGCTGTAAATTTTTGCAAATGAATATTACAACAACGCGAGAGATAAACAGAACTTTAATAAAAGCAAAATACCGTCTCGCAGTTTCTTTCAGCGATATATTCCACTATACGAATCGATTACTCACGTTTTACCCTACCCTCTAATTTTAAACGACCGCAGGGTGGAGCGTCGTATCGTCTCCCGTCCTGAAATTAAATTCACGCGAAACACGGCGTCTTACAACGTTACGACTTAATACTATTAGGCGATGAAGTTCGCTGTCTACGCCGGAAGCTCTCGCAACTCCCGAAACAGTCGTTTCTATCACGGCGCCTTTGCTGCGGTCCCGACCGTGCCTTAACATCGGATTATCGTTGTATCGAGATCTTTCGGTCAGAATACCAAGGTCCGCAGGATCGCTCCGACAGCGTATTTGGGAATTGGTGCAGCTAGGGCGAACTACGTTCATTGGCGCGTCCTTCCTTGAAGCGGTTACCGTCAACATATTGCTTCAAATCTACGGAACTTGAGTCTTTCAAAATTCCCCTGCGCTAATAAATTATCTATAATACGTAATATGCGGATGTTTCGGACGTATTAAGTCCCCTTTACATACAGAGCATCCGGATTACTCTTTGGATTCGATTCTTTCTTCTATATATAATAGAAACGTCGGAAGATCAGTATCGAAATTTTAGATTGTTTTTAAAAATTTTCTCAAATTTACAGATTGATGAAAAAATGTTATCTCTTTAAATGGATTTTAACAAATTTAACAGTAACCTGTGTTAAACTCGTTAAATGAGAAGCTTACTCTGTGTGTAATTCTGTTAGAAAAGATTTAAAAAATCCATAGATGAAACATGAATCGTGAGATATAAACACATCTTGTTTCTTGAAATAATATAATTAATTTCTTTCTACTAAAAGCGGATACACGTTTGACTCTGGAAATAACTCGTTCAATTACCCCATGAAGCTTTCCACAATGTGCTTCTACTTATATAAATCGGATCATGGGAATCTAATCGGGAGAAAGAGAGAGAGAGAGAGAGAGAAACCGACAGGGATTCTCGTTGCGGAAACCGCACACCGTGAAAGCCGCAGGTGTCGACGATGCTAGAATAGCCTCCTTTTCCCATCCTTCGTGCCAGTAACATCTCTACCCGCCTCCTCTCTTTCTTCGTGCGAGCGGAAGTGAGTTTTCTCAAGTACGGGAACGACGCTATGCTCTCTCGGTTGTTTGTTATATGCGAAGCGGCGGGTGAAATTAGTCGTCGTTCCGCCGGCAACCCCATTTCCCCCGTCCCCTTTACGCCGCCTTGACAAACCTACGAGTACGCAGCGCGCTCCATTCCTACCGGATTCACCTCGAGGAACACGCAAATGACTTCATTATAATGAGCGCGGCTCGAGACCGACCGTCTCCGACTCGCGCGCTCGCTAAATCGACCCATTCTCATTCGTTCGCGTCCCATTTATCTCGCAATACTTCCTTTAAACTCCTTAACCTACGACACCGTAGGAAAGATTACGTCCTCAAGACGCAATGTAACTTTTTTACTCTCCTGAGTAACGTCGCTTTTGTCTAGACCGTCATAATTATTAATTTTCTTAGTTATTACTCAATGAAAGCTTGATCGTGAAAACTTTTAATTTTGTTTCTTAGATTTAAATAATTCTGCTTTAGGGAAAACGATAGGAAAAACGACGTCTTTTAATTTCTTTCATGATATGAGAGCTTATAAAATGTTTTTTAAGTAACTTATTTTATCTGAGAAATACATATTAGCATGTAGTTATATGAGATTACGGCCGATTGTAAACAGTATATTCTCTCTCTTTCTTTTCTTATAATGGGATATAATTCTAATAATAAGATATTTTTGCATTTTTCGAAGAATTTTAATTATTAGCAACGTTAATCAATTTTGTCATTAATGAATTTTTGCTTGAGAAAGACATATTTAAGACGTATTTTAATGTATTTTTATATGAGATGCTAATCGATTACGTGTCGTGACGTTAGTCATACCGGTTGATAAACAATAATTGGCCGAGATAAATCCCAGCTCGAAAATTTTAGCTCGCAAGCACTTTCATTCTTAATTTAATTAACTTACAATTATCTGAGATATATGGGGGCATATTTATTCATAAATAAATGCTTATGTGTTATGCTATATGTTTCTTGTAATTTAGCAAGATACTAATAACATTCTAATGTTTTTTCGATAATATTCTGAACGATAAATTAATGAAGAGAGAATATTTTTTCACGTTTATGCAAATTATATATGCAATATTTTAGCAATTGCATATTTGTTCTTGGCAGCTTTTACAAGTTTCAAAAACATTAATTGTAAATTTCGCATGTATTCCTTTGTATTATAAACTATCGGAGTCACATATAATTTCATTTATATATAATTTATATGTAATTTAAATTTGCCAAAAATATCATGTTTTATCATCGCGCGCGTTTGCGATGATATGAAAGTAAATTATCCCAAGCATACTGAGCGGCGGAAAAAAAACGCGTTATCATCCATAAACATACCGCTTTCCATAAATGTCGTAGGGTCGCCCTTGTTCCATCCGCGCGATCGTATCCACCCCGCTTCGTTCACCCCATACGGGGTGCGCGCGATACGCGCGTAAACGACCTCCCGCATCCGGTTGGCGCGACGGAAGGGGGCATGTCACCCCCCCCCCTCCTATGTTCGTTCACCCTTCGGGGGTGCGCGAATTTTTTATCGAGTGTAAGACACGAAACGCACCGTCTCACTCGTCTTCTCGCGTCGGCTACCGGCG